TTAAAATGTGTTCACTTTTGTTCGGTGAGGAAGATAATAAGGTATGCAGAACCGAAATGTGAGTTGGAAAGCTCAGGCAACATCAGGGAGCGAATCCAAAATAGCCCAGTTTGGTCTTTGGCTGATAAGCACTCGAAATCCACTAAGCTCAGCAGGTCAAAAGACATCTGTCACCTAGTGGCATCCCCAAGAGTGGTCAGCAATAGAATAAAGTCTGAATGAGGCGGGCTCAGCCTTACTTAGTAATGTCTGGAGGGCAGGGACCGTGGTTCTGTTAAATATTTCCTCCATGCCTCTCAAGAGCCTTTGTCTAAGCCCAGCCTATTTACTCATTCATCATTTACCTCTTCAATCAGCAAGTGGGAAGAGAAGGGCAAGGAAAAGGGGTCACATAGAGGGTTCTGCTCTAAGCTAACAGGGGATGGAAAACACCTGCCAGGCAGAAAATTCCCATCAGAAAACCTGCAGTGCAGTCATTTGTTTCAAAGAAGAGATGGTGTGGACTCTGAGCATTGCTGGGTGCCTGCTGGACAGGGCAGACAAAGACCTATGTGTTCAGCAACCAAATCCTCCACGTTTTCCTGGGCAATCCTATTGTCAAATATTTTATATCTTTCCTCTTTACAAATCACCAAATGTCCTAGAAATGGCCATGCGTCCACTCCCCAACAGCCTCTTCGACATAGCTGCAGCATGAGAATCCACTGTCAGATCATGGCTCCTGACTGTTGCCTAGGAAATCATGGTCACAATGCCCATGGGACTGGAACGACTCACGTTGTTGTGCTCCCGCTCTGCTAATGGAGGTTATCTCCACGTTATAGTAAGAACAAGTTTACCTCAGCACTCTTCTGTGTGGCTGTCTGGATGGTGCAGGTTATGGCAGGAGGCTCACATTTTAGAGGCAGCTTAAAGGGGCCAACTCCCTAAGAAGTCACTGGGGCACAATTTTAGGAAGCCATATGCGTATCTGGAGCCTGCTGGCCACACAGCAGCAGTCAGGGAGTAGGCACAGCTTTGTGCAGAAGGTGCCAGTCAGCTTTTGAGGACAAGAGTGAGGAGTATTTGGGGCTTTTAGTGCTGAAAGCAGTTCAGTTCCATGAGAACCACAGTGATTCCCTGAGCAATGTTGAGTACTGTAACTGAGATCTACCCTACCTCATGAAGCAAAATTAATTCCTTTGGTCCCACTGCTTTCCTGGTACCTCGTCCATTTTCGATTTTTTTCAAAAGACCTATATTCAGTTCTTTCTAATTACATACCCGGTTTCTGTGAACAGAAATGGAATAACAATCTCTTCTGTCAATGAGTTCACAGTCAGCGGGGAGAGAGAAAAGCGAACAATACAGTGAAGCGAGGGCTGTAATGAGAGGATGCACGGAAGCCTGAGGAGGAACACAGTAAGCCTGCCTTCATAGCGTTATTCATAAACTCCCTTTGGGGAGCTGAGGAGCATATTCACTAGCAGAAATGAGGCGGGGAACTTCCCAAGGTGAAAGTAGTGCATCAGACAGCATGGACTGAGTGGGAGTGGCAGCAGCTCACTGCTCTGGAGCTGGAAATTGGTCTGCAGATGGAGGGTGGTCCCTAATAGCAGGCGTTGACTGTGGCAGTGGTAACAACCACTGGAGGAGGGAGCAGGGAAAGTTGTCTGGGGACTATGGACATAGTTTGCTCAAGAGATGATGAGGGTGTAAAATGCAGTAAAAGTAGAGAGGGCAGGAAAGGGGAAAATTGAGAAATACTCTAAGGCAAACATCATGAAGACGTAGGGAATTAAGGAACCAAGAATGACTCCCAGGGTTCAAGTGTTTAGGAGTTGAAGAGAAAGGAGATTCAAAAACTAGCATCAGGTAAGCTGAGCAAATGAAAGGCCCCAAGGAGGGAGAGGCCCTCAGTGTCAGACACGGGACAGAGGTGTATTTCCAAAGAGGCCAGATCCCAGATGACTGAAGAGGCACTGGGCAGCAGTGAGGTGGTCGCTGGATGTAAACTGTTATTTTAAGGTGTCTGGCTGAGAAGAGAAGGAAATTAGAAGACATAAAAATTAAGGAAAGATTCTCTTTTAAACACTAGAGACCCCTGTGTGTATGTGTATATGTATGTGCATGCATTTGCGTGCATGCATGTGTGTGCTAAAGGAAAGAGGCAGAAGTTGAAAATACAGAAGAGAGGAAGAACCTGATGGAGGAAGATTCAGAAGATCAGGGAGAAGAAGAGATTTTTAAAATAGAGGGATTAATATTGATAAGGTCCTGTCTGGGGTAAGAGTGGCAGTGGTAGGCACAAGGGAAAGTCCTCAGACACTCAGGAGATCACAAAGTGTGACAGGAAACAAACACACACTGAGAAGTGTGAAATGCCTACTCAGTGCCATGTGTTGTGCGAGGCTCTGGGAATATAGCAAAGAATGAAGAAACACCTGGCCTTACCTTCTAAGTTGAGTCAATGCCCTGAATCTGTCTTCCACCTTCCTTCCATCCCTCTCCCTTCTCTAGTGCCATCTCTGAAAAAATCAACCCAGCGCAAGCAGCAGCAGAAGTCACAGACAGGATGATCCCCCTCAAAAGGACAATTATTCTGACCACTTATCCTACCATCAGGAACATCCTTGTTATGAATGACAGGGTCTGCCCTTGGGAAAAAAAAAACAAAAAGTGAGTGTCTATCCATAATATGGGAACAACATTATTAAGAAAAGTAAGCTTTCTAACTCAATCATTTCAGTAGTGATGGCTAGTATTATCTGGGATATTTTAAAGATATCATTGTGCCCTTTGAGTAAAAGCCTATATATTAGGAAAGAGCAGTTTACGTTTAGAAAGCTGTATTTAATATTGTCGATCATATCAACTTGTAATAGTCAAGTAAAGGATTCTGATGCCTGTTCAGACAGGTGCTATGACCTTAATATGGGCTGTGTGCCTTGTTATTGGAAATCCATGTGTTCTCATTGTCATTCCTATCTTCTTAACACCAATGAATTAAGGAACCAGACTTAATTACAGAAAAATCTGAGATAAGTGTTTCTTAAAGAAAATCCAAACTCTTTTGTAAGAGAAGACCTGACTAATAGAGCAATGGGTGCTAACTACTCAGTTAGGTTTTAAAGCACCTTTTGAAATCTCACTCTGCCAATGTTATTTAGTTTAAATCGATACTATGACTTTTCATGGTTATCATCAATAAAGTCAACGGTCAAATAAAAGCCAGTTAAACTGCATGACTGGAGGAGCCACCAATGTGTCAGGAATCAATGTCATTTAGATATAGTGTTAAATTTTTTTCTCTAATGCTGGGCTGCAACAGGAGGTAGGGAGGATAGAACAGAGGATGTACCAGCAATTTAACATGCTCCTTACCCGCTTCAGACACCCTCTCAAATCAAAAAGGTTTCTGCGAGGCCTTTTAGAAATGCCAAAGAGGCCAGTCCTCAGCAGAATGGGGAAAGGGAGAAGATGCTTGTCTTCCTCGGGCCAAAAGAAGCAGCACCCATGGCCCTCAGCCCCCCCTCCCACGTAGGCAGCCCAATTTACTGAGCAAAGAGCCACAACCCATCAGGCCTTTTCTAAACACCTGATTAGTCAGGGAGAGAAGTAGCCAGTATCAGAACCTGGAGGGCCCAGCCCTGCCTCTTCCTGCCTCCCTGTGCAGGAAATGAATGTCTGTGGCTGCTGCAAAAAGATGATATGATCGACAATTAAATACAGCTTTCTAATCATAACCTGCTCTTTCCTAATATATAAGCTTTTACTCAAAGGACATAATAACATCTTAAAAATATTCCAGATACTACTAGCCATTAGTACTGAAATGACTGAGTTAAAAAGCTTACTTCTTCTTAATAATGTTGTTTCCCACATTATGGGTAGAAGCTCCCTTTTTTCTCGTTTTTGTTTTTGTTTATTCTTTAGCTAAAAATCTTAAAGTAACGGGCTCACACAAAATATATACATATAAAATAAATAAATAACCATTAACTAAAACAGCCACTCTGAGTGGTCTACCTCTTTAGAAGAGCTCATTTAAGCTACAGAATCGGCTCTCTGCTGTGGCTCTCTGCTGTTATCTTTTCATTTTAGTTCACTCTTAATATCCGAGTTGCTCCAAAGGCCCAAACTGGGAGATTATAAATTGACAAATAGATCATTGAGCTTCTTCCCAAGCAGAAGTGGTCAGGACACTCCAATGACCACCTCGGGGCTAGAGTTCAGATACTCTCTCCCTCTGGTTTTATTTACCTTGCAGACCTGAGTATGGGAAAATTGAAATGAGAGTGGATTGAAAGGAGAAAAATATTTCCAGGATCGCAGCACTATTTAGCCAAATCATTGTTTTAATCCTCGGTTAATATCATGAATTTCCTGTCTTCATAAAAAAAACCACGTTATCTCAAAACGATCTATTTCAGTTCAAGCAGAGCCTGAAGATTTCTAAACTGCACTCTCTCAGTTGGAATTTGGTCTTCAGATGACCTGGGGATAAGTTTCTGATACCAAGCCCACTACAGTGCTTCCACTGATTCACTTTTTGTCTCAGCGAATATTTTCTAAGTACCTACTGCGTGCAGCCACAGTGCTTGGCATGGGAGAGTGAGAGGTGTTAAAGATTCTGAGGTGTCTGTGGCCAGCGAAGGGCCGCACTTGGACTGGCACAACTTGGAGCGCCATGGATAGTGACGCGCGTCCAGCAGCGTAGTTTCCCACAGAGCCCGCTCCTTGCCAAAAAGCGCGCAATAAAAACTTTGCCCAGTTCATGCTGGCACTGATGCACCAAGTGTGCCCTGGGCAACTGCAAGGGGCAGGCTCTAGAGCTGCGCATAGGGGGAGGGTAGCAACTCACCTTAAATTTTGAGTTCAATACCGAACTTGGGGACAAGGTTAGAGAGAAAAGAACGGGGCGCCCGGGAACGAGGAGGGATAAGAGCGGATCGCGGAGTCAGGGTCAAGACCAGACGCCAGGGGGACCGCGCGAGCTCAGCAGCCGGCATGGCGCTCACCTGCGTTCCGGAGCTTGCGGTTCTTGAGCACCGAGAAGATGACCAGCAGGTTGCCCAGGACGTCCGCCGCGGTGGTGACGATGAGCACCGCGGACAGCGCGGGCGCCACCCAGGGAGGCCGGGGGATCCCGGAGGGCCGCGCGCCGTCCGCCCCCAGCCAGCTTGGGCGCTCGTCCCGCCCGCCGGTCTCGCAGCAGTTGGCGAAAGAGACATTTTCGGGCATCGTGGAGCCCTGTGCGCCGTTCTGCAGCCACCGCACGGTCCCCTCTTCCCGCAAGACAATCAGTGCTGAGCGGGGAGCTCCTACTGCCTCCTTCCCAGCCCAGGGTGAATGGACTAGGGAGGAGGTCAGTGGGGAAGGAGCTAGAGGAGATAATTAATTAAGCCTGGGCAGAGGGCGGCGAAAAATATGGGAACGCGAAGAGGAGCTGGGGTGCAGGCGTCGCCAGAAGGAGTTGGTTCCTCGGCAGCTCGCTGAGGAGCAGCTAAGACAGCGCTGCTAGCGCTGCCACTGGAGTCCAGCACGTGTCTAGTCCAGCTCAGGCTTCGGTTCCTGAGCCCACAGCCACGCCCGAGACTTCAGATTTCCCCCAAGGGAAGCTGTGCCAAGGAAGGGACACCCAGGTTTGCTGGAGAAGGTGCTGGTGGTCGGGACCTGCCCTTGTCAGAAAGGCCAAGTTTGAGGCCCCACGGGGCCGTGCAGCTCCAAAGAGAACGTAATCCCCAAGGTATGGGGACAAACTCCAGAGCAAAGAAGGGTAGAAGGTCGTACTCTAGGCAGCTGCAAGAGAAAGGTGAACCTGTGCTATTTATTGAGCACTTGCTGTTTATTGTGTCTTTGTCCTGTATTGATGTCTCTGCCCTGTCCTCTTTACAAAGCCAAGACAATACTTAGATAGATGTATGAACATCTATTTAACCATGATAATACTTAAATAGATTTATGGTTAATGCTGGGGATAATTTAATGTGGTTTTTGGAGGGATTAGAACAAAAGAAAGTAAAATATGATTATACAAAGGAGGAAACTTAGATGCCCTTTGTTTAAAATCTTCGAGCATTTATTCTGATAATAACACTATCTAACCTCTTCTGAGGGCCAACTTTACGCCAAACACTGTCCTAAGCACTTCACACGTCACTAGAGTCACAGTCCCAAAAAGAAAAAATTGGCAAGGAGGTGAAGCACTTGGAACTCTCACATATTGCTTTTATGAGAATGTAAAATGGTACAGTCAATTTAAAAAGCCATTTGGTAGTTTTTATGGAGTTAAACATAAACCATCCTATGATCAGAAATGAAATGCAAATGAAATAAATGAAACATGTGTACACAAAAAGAATTGTGAAAGAATGTAAAGAGCAGCCTATTTATAGTAGCCCAAACCTGAAAACTGGCCCAAGAGTGGTAAACAAGTTGTGGTATATTCATGCAATGGAATACTACTTAGTGATAAAAACTACTGATATACACAACAACACAGATTAACCTCAAAACATTATATTGAACAAAAGAAGCCAAATGCAAAATAGTACAAATCGTACAATTCCATTTATATGAAGTCCAACAACAGAAAGCATTAATCTATGGTGATAGAAATCAGAGCATTGGCTACCTGTGGGGTGAGGATTGACTGGAACAGAGCACAAAATAAATTTCTGGAACATTATTTGTATGTGTGTAAATTATACTCTCTCACCCCATACTCCCCCCAAAACACAAAACAAAAAGGAAGAATGCAGTAGAGAGGGAGGAACTCTGATGATGTCATGATGCAGAAGAAGGAGATGATAATTAATGTAGGGAACTCCTTGAGAGGTAAGTAAGCTCATCCAGAGCCCAAAGAAGGGGAGAGAGGCTTTCTCCCATACAGTAGAAAGGAAGCAGAAGCCAGGTGCAAATGCAAAAGAGTTTCCAGATTGCTGTGAGGAGATGAGGGAGTTCCTCTCTGGCTGCTATATTCTCAGGGAGTTTTAGGCTACCTCATTAGGCAGGATTCGGGGGGAGAGAGTGTGGGAGGTTTAAAGACATAAGAAGGTCTGAAATGCCATTTCAAAAACTGGAAAAATTACCTAGGAAAGCATGGCAGATATGTCAGGAGAGCGAGTGTTCCTGTATGGTTTAAGATTATGGCTTTAAATGAAGATAGCCAGCTTCATTGGGCGGGTGTTAATCAGCGACTTGGAGCTGCTCAGGACAGGTACAGAGATGGTAGAGTGAACCTCACTCAGGACTGGGGTTTACCAGCTAGGAGTAAATCACAGAGGGAAATGCCAGGGCACAATGGGAAGATTGACCCTAGGATTTATGTTAAATGAGGGGTGATGAGAAAACAGAAGGGGGCTAACGGACCAGGAGAAAGAGTTGGGATCAAGGGATTAGAGGAATTGAATTCGAAAAATTATGGTAAATGAATCTGAAAAAGCAGATTGTAATATTTTAGAGGGTGATTTGTTTGAAACTGAGATTTCTGAGAGGTACAGATTCTATTGATGGGCTCTGATGGTGATTATGGGATTGAGGCACTGGAGGAAGGTGAGGGAAAAGTTTGTTGGAAATGAGAAACTCATGAAACTGAGAAGTCTAGAGGTGACTATTATAGTGGTAAAAGGAAAATCCCCAATGAATGAAAAGGAATGACCAACCAGTTGGTAGAAGAACTACAGGGAGGAGGAGAAGGACACAGCTGGAAGGTGTGAGTGTTCATGAAGAAGGGACAGACGTGCTTTCCCTGTTCTTACATGCACACGTATACGAAACATATAGTGACACTTCTCTGGCTTTCAGCAGCCCTCATAGCAATACAGTATAAGTTGCCTCAGTTCAGACACACTAATAACATATATTTGGTTAACTAAGTATGAAACATAGGATTTGCCCTCTGCTGCCCCGGAATGTGATCATGCACACCTTGCCTATATCCACAAAAATCTCAAGAACTTTGCGCACTAAGATTTAGGGTACTCTCTGCCTAAGAAGTCAATGCTGTGTCCTGGCACAGCTGGCCAGGCTGTGCCTTTAAAGGGCAGGGGAACGATGCTGACAATTTGGAAAAAAATTTGGCAGTTACTTACAAAACTAAAGAAGCACACTCTTACCACACAATACTGTACTCACACTCCTTGGTATTAATAAAAGTTCACTGCCATCAGTATAATGCCAACAGGAGTCCCCAATCTGAGGTGTGGAAAAAGGACAAACTTTATTTAGGTAAACAATTATTGATACAGGAAGATGCACCCTCAGGAGGAAACCAAAAGTATGCTCTCCCAAGACAAAGGGGAGACCAGCTTATATAGAGAAAGCACTCCTGGTCCCCAACTAGTATATTTTTATGCAAATTAAGAATCCAAATTTGCACAGTTTGATTGGTCCGAATAGCACTATCCTGATTGGTTGAAATCTTGCATCCTGATTGGTTGTTATAGAGCTGCTCTGATTGGTCAGTAAAGATGCAAATGAGAATATACCTGAGCAGCCCCAATTGGATGGGGTGGGTCTCAAACCATTGGTCAAAATATGATTTCAGGAACTTTTTATAAGGTTTGCCTTAATGACAGGAATGCAATGTGGGAGGCTTGGTAGCTCAGCCTGTGGCTTTTCCCTGATATGCAGTGTGTATGAGTGGCCTCTATAAACATGGTTGCTAGAATCTAGTTATGAATTTGTGCCCAATTAACTAAGAAGAGCCCTTTGCGGCAGAGATATATTCCTTCTTTGGGTCTAAAGTATTTACCCAAAAGAATTGAAAGCTTATGTCGACATAAAAACCTGCAGATGGATGTTTATAGTAACTTTATTCATAATCTCCAAAGCTTAGAAGCAGCCAAGATATCCTTTGGTAGGTGAGTAGATAAATTGACACATTCATGTAATTGAATATTTTCAACACTAAAAAGAAATGAGTTATCAAGCTATGAAAAGACATGAAGGAAACTTAAATGCATATTACTAAATGAATGAAGCCAATCTAAAAAGGCTATATATTGTATAATTCCAACTATATGACCTCGTGGAAAAGGCAAAATTATGGAGACAATGAAAAGATCAGTGTTTACCAGGAATTAGGAGAAGGAAAGAAATGAATAGTTGGAGCACAGAGGATTGTTAGGGCAGTGAAACTATTCTGTATGAGTGGTGGATACATGTCATCATACATTTGTCCAAACCCATAGAATGTACAACACCAAGAGTGAACCCTAATGTAAGCTATGGACGCTGGGTGATAATGATGTGTCAATTGTAACAAATGTACCACTCTGGAGGGGGTTGCTGATAGTGGGGGAGGCCATACATGTGTAGGGGCAGGAGGTGTATGGGAACTCTTTGTACCTTCTGCTCAATTTTGCTTTGAACTTAAATCTTCTCTAAAAAATAAAGTCTATATAAAGAGGGGGGCGGGTGGGGAAGAAGGAAGGTTGTTGCCAGGGTGGGCGAGAATGTCCCAGGGCTCATATATTCTCAGCCAAAACTGAATCCACCCAACAATCAACAAGACAAACTAAAGCAAATCTAGATAGAAAAATCATGATAGTAAGGAGGTTGGAGCTATAACACCTGAGGTGATGGAGAGGGGTGCCCAGATTTAAGAGAGAGTGTTACATTCAAGGGACTGGGAAGTCATCTCAGAAGGACCAAGATCAGGGCAGAGAGTTTAGAAACTGGGCTGGAGAAGTAGACAGGAATTCATCCAGATAAGCCTAAAGCAACCCTGAGGACTCTGGACTTGATCCCAAGACAGTGGGATCTGTTGAGGGGTTTGTCAGACATCTGCACCCTGCCTCACTTTTGCAGGCTTCCCTTCCAATGCAGAGAGGATGTTTACAGCAGAGAGCAATTCCTGCATTAACATCCAAGTCTAGAAGAGTGGCGACTTATTCCAGTATTCCACGCTGATGGACTCTTAACATAAGAGGATTCTTTTCACAACAGGTGAAACCAGTTATGGCTGCAACAGTGAAATGAAATTATATGGGAGGGGGAAAAAAATCAAACCCTGAAGAAGGGAAGGGAGAGAGACAAAGGAGAGAGGTTCAAGATTCCTAGCTGCTTTCTCAACAAAATAAATCAACATTTTGAATACCTACAGTGTGTCCTATTGTTACAAAAATGAGGACTGGTGTTCCTTACACCTGCCCCCAAGTTCAAACTCAAATCAAAATATGCTCACAGAAGCTCAGTTTCCCACATCCCAACAATAATGCATTTCATTCTGGGTAGTATTTGAACTCTTTTCCAAACCACTTTTACATAGGCCATCTCTTGTCTGTTCTCAACAGATCTGAGAGGCCTGAGAAGCATGTATGATTGGTCTAGTTGGAAAAGAAGAGAACAAATTCTCAGAAAAAAATAAAGAACTAGCCAAGGTTAGCGACTGATAAGTGGTCAAGAATAGTCTGTTAGCCAGCTGGCTAACAGAATTTATTGTTTTATT